CCAGAGGAAAGAGGCGGCGTCCTCTGTTTTCTTCATTGTGAAGTCTGGGGTCGCCAGGCTTCCCAGGAGCGAGTCCTGTGTCGCGAGCGAGCGAGCGAGCGAGTAGGTAGACGCAGATACGCCAGCTTTGTGCTTGGCCTCGCTGAGGGTCATCACGCGGGCTGCACGTTTCCTAACCTCGGCCCCCGAGGCTGCTCACCTCCTCTAACGTTAGTCTCTGATCTCGGGGTCCAGCCGCCGGGCAGACCACGTGTGTGGAGCTCAGCGAGGCTCTGGGTTTCGTTTGCAGCCTGCGCAGTGGGCGTCGCCGTGGGCTTTTAGGCCTGTGTTGTTTTCTCTTGAGGGAGCCATGCTGAGGTGCAGCCTTGAGCGCTCTGGAGCTCCTGACCAAGTTGTTTTTGCGTCTAAGAGGCATGACCAAGTTGTTTTTGCGTCTAAGAGGCTCTTTCTTTCTTTCTTTCTTTCTTTCTTTCTTTTTTTTTTTCTGTGTTCATGACACCTTACTGAAACTCTGCTTTGAGTAATAAGTGCTTTGAGAAAACTTGAGCGTTACCCCTCCCACCGCCCTACACTTTCATGCCTGCTTAACTCCCCTGCCCCCTGTCACCATTGTTACATTATCTGCCCCCCTTTAAAGGCGTCCTCACACCAATAGTCCTTTTTAGGTTGTAAGGCTTTTGTGGGTTTTCTAAGTTGAACACACAACTCTTAAAGATTCCAAGCTAAGGGTCCTCTTTAATTAGTGCAAACTTGTAGTGTGTTAGGTACCAAGGAAACTCCATTGTCCCAAATTACTGTGGTTAAACAAAAGCCAGCATTACTCAGAAACTTGTGAAGCCAGTACTCCCCTACCAAAAGGAGCCACTCCTCTTATCACTAGCAGAAGAGACAAATGGCTGCCCTTGGTGTCTATTAGCGTGCTGGCCTCTACACTCCATCAATCCTATTATTACCTGTTATTCATTTCAGAGTCCAAGTTAGTTTAGCATCCTAGCTCTTCCCAGACCCTAAATATCTCCATCTCATAGGCTTCCAATCCCATCAGCTATTCATTCTCTGTATAACCCTGCTATTTGGCCTCTCTCTCTCTCTCTCTCTCTCTCTCTCTCTCTCTCTCTCTCGTTCTCACTCTGCTCCTGCTTTTCTCATGGCCAGGTCCAGTCTGCTGCCCATGTTCAGTCTACTGCTGTCTGTCTGTGCTCTGAACTCTTCCAGATCCCTCATATCTACAATATAAACAGTGTTCATCTTCCTAGACCCGAGTTACTGCCATATTTTTTTCTCAATTCTGTTCACTTATCTGCAAATTACATAATTTCATTTTTCTTTACAGCTAAATAAAATTCCATTATGTATTTATTATCAGGTCCAACGGGTACCCCAAGCAACCACAAAGGGCAGGCCACTAACTTAGTCCAAAATGGAGTCTAGGTTCAGCTCAAGATGGACTGTAGAAAGATTTCAGTCACTTAAATACATTTCTCAGGAATTTTGAAACAGATTCCTTGTAAGCTAAAAGGAGTCTTTCCTCCTGCCTCTGGCAGAAGGGACATATGGTTCTCTGTTGGCACACACCTGCAGCAGCCATCAGCATTTCAAACTCTATGCTAGCCTCCAGCCCCCACAGTTCCCTATTCACAAGTACCCAGAATACATGTTAGTGTCCACACTAGCCTCCCAGTCCTTCTCAACCATACCCACTCATCTTCCACTATGCTAGCTCCCAAGCTGTTCCAGTTCACAGGCGTTGCTCCTCCCAGGTACCCATCCATTCTCTCTATAAAAGCAAGGTCTTTTTTTCCCCTCTGCCTCCACTATTCTCACTTCTCTAGCAGATAACCCTGGCCGTGTCCAGTCTGTTTCTTTTTCTCTCTGCTTTGGGATCTTCCAGATGCCTCTGGCTGTTCTCTTCCCCCTGACCACCAAGTGGCCATTTCAGTCCTTTCTTTTCCACATCCTTACATGTGTATGTGCACCCTCATTGTTCACTCTTCTGTTGGTGGACATGTAGGCTGATTCCACTTCCTACATTCTTTGAATAGAGCAGCACCATCCATGCTTGAGCAAGTATCTCCATTGTAGGACATAGAATCCCTTTAATGCCTTCTAGGGATGTTTTCTCTGCCAATTAAAGAATTAAAAGGCAAGAAAGACATCACCAGAAATCCTAGGGAGTCCCATTGGAGCCCTTATATGATACCTGGCAAATCAGGGTCCCCTCACTGGGGTTCTTAATCTTATTAAAATAATTTAAGAATGAAAACAAACAGTAGCTTGAGGACCATTTATTATATATTTAAAGGAAAACCCTGAGGCAAGCAAGCTATAAATCTTTTAAAATCTGAGTCTATTTGCTAGGTTGCAAAGCTGTGTGCTTCTTCCTCTATCTTCTATGTTGATGGGACTATAGGCATGCACCATGTGCCCAACAAACTTTATCTTAAGGGGGGGAAATAGTATTATAAAAGCCTAATTGAAATAATCCCTCAAATATATTTAAATATAATTAAATCTCTGTATTGGTTAGTTTCTGCCAACCTGATATAAACTTGGGGTCATTTGTGAAGAGAGAGCAACAACTGAAGAATTATCTCTATCAGGCCAGCCTGTAGGCAAGTCTGTGGAGCATTTTGAGGATTTCTGGTTCATGTGGGAGATGCCAGCCCACTGTGAATGGTGCCTTCCCTGGGCAAGTGGTCCTGAGTTGTATAAGAAAGCAAGCTGAGTGAACTGTGAGGAGCAAGTCAATAACCAGCACCCCTCCACGGTTCCCATCTCTGCTACTGCTTGAGCATTTGCCCAGATTTTCCTTAGTGATGGCTATAATCAGAACAGGAGTCAAATAAACCCTTTCTTCCCCAAGTTGCTTTTCAGGGACAGTATCTGTGCCACTTAGAGTAAAAACCACTGAGTTTTTCCGCAAATGATAATTTTTATTTAGTTCATTGTTTCCACCTAAAAATACCCCACCCACCCCATTTTCAAGATGATCTGAACAGTTCAATGCTGTGGCTATGCTTTTACTTCTTGTGGTGATGAATATACATAGGCTGCTTGGAGGTTTAGGTATGAATCAAATAATTTGGCATACGCTGGGTGCTTCAAGGCAAACTTCCTAAAGGTCTTGTACGAAACTCTAGTGGAATCCTTGCCAGCCATCTCCTGAAAGAGCATGGAAACGTCTAGGTCTGGCACTCCAAAAGCAGCCTGGAGTATAGTTGTTAACTCTTGTTCTGTTATATAGCCGTCCTCATCAAGGTCAAACAGTTTAAACGATATTTGCAGAATCTTCTCTGTGTTGGAAGGGTTGCACAGGACAGTTAGGCCTATCACATACTCCCGGAAGTCTATGGTGCCGTCGTGATTCCTGTCAAAGAGAGAGAAAAGCTGCTCCAGGGGCTCTGAAATTGGGAGTTTTAAATAACTTGAAAACTCTTCAATTCCAATCTTGCCTCCCTTTGAGGAGACCGCAATCGCAGCGTATCTGTCTAAATGCTTGTGGATATTGTCCCAATCTAATTTCAATTTCTGGCTGATGGTTGTAAATTCCACCAAGCCAGCTTCCATGGGTAGTTGAAGGGCACCAGCCGAAATCATCAGTCTGCAGTCTTCGAAAGTGTGATCTGTCACGGGGAGTTCTAAAGCATTTGCCATGTTGATTCGGACTGTGTTGGCAAAAAGGATGGGATTTTCCTTTTCTTCTTCACTTGGGATACAAACAGGCATAAATTCAACTTCCACTCTAGTGAAAGGCTGACTCAGCGTTAGTATAAATGCCTGGAAGGCGCTGAACCCCTGCCAGGTCCACGTCACTGTATCCACGGTGTTGGGGTACCTAAGCAGCACTGGTTGCACAGGGACACCTGGGGAGAAGGCTCCTAGTTTGAAAGTGATAAGACAGGAGCGGTTGGTGCACACTCCTTCCGGGAAAATCAGAATCTGCGGCCATTTCATCTTCGATATCACACGAGTCAGGATTTCATTCCGGGTAGTCTTTCTAGAATTTGGGTCTTCTCGTTTCACCAGCACAGGCTGAGTTGACAGGAGGCATTTCCCAGCCAATGGGATCTGCACATTATGACTTGCCGAGACCACCGAAGGGAGTCCTGCCACAACAACTGCGATTGCGTCGAAGAAGGTGGAGTGTGGCGCCGTGACAAAGATGGGAGCCTCCTCTCTGGTGGCCTTTTTGCCTTTTACCTTAATCAGGAACCCAGCAAAAAAGAATGTCATACGGAACAAGAACTGGAGGGCCGGTTTCATCAGATGTTTCCTCCAACTCTTCATGGGTTTGGTAGGTTGAATAGGCAAGTTAATGGTGGTGAGTGTGGCCATAGGCCAGAGAAGCATGAAGAGGAAGGCCATGCAGGACACACGCACAGGTACCAGCACGGTCCCCAGGAGGATGGTGCAGGCCCAGCGCCAAGCACTGAGGTGGGTCTGCTGCATGAAGGGGTTGGCCACTGCAGGAGGGTATAAGGAGGGCCTGTTCTCCCCCCAGATAGTCCTGCTTTCCCACACCTCCAGCTCAGTGGTGTCTGTGGTCTGTTTGCTATCAGTCAGATGAGCCATGAAGCCTGCTTCTCAGTATTTGAGTATCAAGTACTATTTCCGTTTGCACACAATTGGCACCCTTACAGCCAACTGTTGTTTAATAGGAAATGATGCATTAACGACCTTTAAAATTAGAAAAAGAAATCACAGGGGAATTAGGATCTCATCAAGAGAAGGATCACAGTGTGTTGTTTTTGACATATACAGTTAAAAATTTTCACATAACAATTTCTGGTACTTCTATTATTCATATGTGCTTACTAAGGAGATAGTAATTTGAATGAATAAATATTAATATTAATTATAACTTTCAAATTTAAGTAATAATGCCAGTAAAATTTGCTATGGGCTGCTTTGAAAACTAGTGAAATTCATCCATTGTCCCTATAGATTTATTTCTTTGGTGATGGTCATACCACTTTAGGCTAAGAAGTGGCCCCTTAAACATTTGTGTCATGAGCACTTTTCCATACACATAGAGATTTAGGGAGGAATAGGTTTTAAGAGAGGAAGATGTGGAGAAGAGAGATTAATGCACTCTGACTTGAGAGTAGAAGGACTTCATCAGGAAGGAAGGGAACCAGCAAGAAGTGGGGGGCAAAAGGGATGGGAGAGAATAGTTGAGGAGGAGGATGAATGAGAAAAAAGTATGACATGGATGAGTGAAATGCCATAATGAAACCCATCACTTAGAAAATTAATAATTTAAGCTGGATGATGGTGGCACACACTTTTAATCCCAGCACTCAGGATGAAGAGGCATGCAAATCTCTGTGAGTCCCAGGATAGCCTGGTCTACAGAGCGAGTGCCAGGACAGTAAGAGCTGTTACACAAGAAACCCTGTCTCAAAAAACCAAAATAATAATAATAATAATAATAATAATAATAATAATAATAATAATATAATTTAAAAAGGAAAAATTAGAGTGCATTAATTCTAATAGGCCAGAATTGACCATGGCATGTGGGGTTTATAATGTTAGTATTAGTCTATATGAACCAGTCAACACTCTAAACTGATACTACATGAGAAAAAAACTGTAAAGTCAACTTGGTCAGTAAGCAGGCTTTGATCAAAATAAGATCTACTCTACTGAGTCAACATAGTCTCCAGGGCATGTTCCTTCTTTGTTATTGTCCTTGGGACGTCATGAAGAGGGAAGCCCATTTAGTGTGAACAAGGCTTTCTTCTAGACCTGGTGGCATTCTCGACTCTGACATGCTATATTGAGGGTTCCTGCTATGTTTGCTAGTTTCTAATCTGAATTCCTTTTCCCAGAACTAAAATGATTATCTAGGTCCTCAAGTTTCCATCTATTGACATATATTAGGTTAGTCCTACAACAGGAAGTGTGCTAAGGATACCAAAGCTTGATAAAGCAAGGTGTGAGCTAAGTGGAAGGCCACTTCTAGGTGCCGACATTTACACTCAGGGAATTGGCAAAGGTACATGTTAAAACTTACTCTCCTTTCTTTCAACTGGTGATACTCCCTACCTTGTAACTTTGTTTTGAGGCTCCAGCCTAAGGTTCATAAACAAAATGAGCTTTTATTGTACATAGAGGTTGCTATGACACAATGAGAATTCTGAGGACACTCCACACTCTCCTATCACTATCAGGACTGTCTGTAATGAAGGAAATGTCACTAAGGTGCTGTCACTTGCCATGTGCTAATAATTGTCTACTTTGCCAAAGAGGACATCCTGAGACAGTGGGCAATAGTGAATTGAGCCACACTATCCCCTCTTCTGTGACTTCCTATTCTACAATGCTCATTTCTACTCTTTCAGCTTTCTTTTTTAAAAAATAATTTACTAATTTTTTATTGTATGTGAATTAGTGTGAGGGTGTCAGATCCCCTGGAACTGGAATTACAGACTGGTGTGAGGTGCCATGTGGGAACTGAACCCAGGTCCTCTGGAAGAGCAGCCAGTGCTTTTAACTGCTGGCCCATTTCACCAGCCCCTCTTTCAGCTTTATTTTATTATTTATTTATTTATTTATTTGTTTGTTTGTTTGTTTGTTTGTTTTGGTTTTTTCGAGACAGGGTTTCTCTGTGTAGCTTTGGCTGTCCTGGAACTCTCTCTGTAGACCAGGCTGGTATCAAAGTCACAGAGATTCGCCCGCTTCTGCCTCCCAAGTGCTGGGATTAAAGGCGTGCACCACCACTGCCCAGCTTCAGCTTTCTTTAATTGCATTCATTATGTGGTTCTTAGAAAAAGTCATCACACCATCTTTTAAATTCCATGTGCCTGATGAGGTTTAATATTTGATTATAACATTGTAGTAGTCAGCCCCTCCTTCATGGTTTTAGTTGCCTGTGGTCCATCAGGGTTTAAAAATATTAAGTGAAAAATCATAGAAAAAATAATGCATAAATGTTTTAAATTACACAATAGTGTGAATGGTGTGATAAAATCTCCCACTCTTCAGGGACGTAATCCATCTCTATCAAGGATAATCAGGATGAATGTGGCTCTCTCCACTCAACTTTCAGACTGACTGCCCCAATGTGTAGCACTTGTAGAAAATAAAATCTGTATTTTGGTCGGTGTTAGTTAATTTCACTCACTAATGGCCCCCAAAATGCCAAAGAGAAGTCATAAGTATGACTTTTAATTGAAAAGGTGAATGTTTTCCATGACAAATGAAAAAATAGATACTGTGAACATGCGAGAGAGAAAAAGACATTAATGTTAATTTGATTATCACACCTCAGACTGAAAAAGTTACAGCCAGAATTCAGGGTAAGGACTTAAGATGGGAAAGGTGTTTATCATATAGGGTTTGAGATCTATTGGCGTTTTGAGACTGCATTGATTCACTAAGAAATGATCTGCATGTCTACAATGCAGCAGGTCTTTATTCTAGACAATGAAAAAATTAAAAAGCTTGTCCTGTAAAACCTGGATTCTAGTGTACAAAGGAATTACAGTATTCATTTCTTACTGCATTGAAGGGGTTGAAAGATATTTTCCTAATTGGTTGTTGTAGCTTGCACCAGTTTCAAATACTTAATCATTCATAATCAATAGAACTTAAGACCCATTTTCAGAAATACTCATCTAGCTAAGTTTTCCTTCAAATTCCTTTATATATTATAAATATGCAGGAGTTGATAATGGGACTTTTATTTGCTAAAAAAAAAATAGTGAAAAGAGTGCTTTAACAATTAATTAAAATATTTGCCGTTGCAGCCCTGCCCTTTACACTATTGCCCAGCTCATAGTCATGGATGTTGGTAAAAGGCATCATATGTTAAAATAATGGAGAAAACACACAAGAAGGCAAACCTGAGCCATTTTCCCTGATTGCCTTTTTGTATAACTATGTATTTCAAGGCAGATGTTTTTCTGTGCAGATACAGACAATGAAACAAATTACATAGATATTTTTCAATACTGTGTTTCACTATATTTATTTATAATCAAGCATATTGAAACAGGTGTTTTTCCTAATAAAACTTAAGTTGATGAGCAAGTCTTAAGTTTTTCGGGGTTCCATTATAGACTCTTCACAGGAGATAAAGTCATTCTCTCCTCTCTTCCCTGAGGAATGCCCAGATTAGCCTGTTCACTATGTCAGGTTGGTCTTGCTGAAGCCAGTGGCTACCTTCTGACAAAACAGTGAGTCTGAAATAGTTTTTAACATAAGTCTTTGTGACTTCAGCCATCTCAGCCTCCATAAACGCATCTTCCTCTCCCCACAGGAGTAGTGTCGGGGTGGTCACCATATGATGCTTGAGAGGCAGGCAGCTATAAAAACAAAACACATTGGCTTGAGAATCATCGGGAAAGTCTGACTAACATTCTTCCATGACATTGAATGGAGATTGTCCATTCCTCCAAAGACACAATACCACCTCTCCATAAAGGGGTGAAAATTGGTGCTTGGGGGTGGGGGGTAGAAGAGCCTCACATTTTACAAATAAAACATGGACATGCAAAGAGTACATATATAATTTTCATGGGGCAAGGTGATGGGGGGGCCCTTTAAAAGCTCCCTTGGGAAGTGATAATGGAAAATGGCTATAAAGCGCCACACTAGGAAGTCATACTGCTCCAATTATGCCGAGTGCATTAGTGAATGTAATCACTTCATGTTCAAGGCTAACCTGCACTGCATAGTGAATTCCAGGACAGCATGGGCCAAAGTTGAGACCCTATCTCAAAACAAATTAACAACTCCCTGAACAAGGAAAACAAAAAAGGAATCTAATAAAAGTTTGTCAGTGAAGAGCTGACCTGCATCTCCAGCACCTGGTAAAAAGCAGCAGATGCCAGGGCAGGAAGTTCTCTAGGGTCTGCTGACCTGGAGTCTGTTCTAACCCTCAAGCCCCAGCTACCCAGTAAGAAACCAGCTCAAAAAGCAAGTTGCATGGCTCTGAGGGGGGCTCCCCAGGCTGTCCTCAACACGCAGGGACATGCACACCTACACAGACACTCAAACAAAACCAATCGTCTTTAGCTTTTACAAAACTGAATTTTGTACAAGGCCAACCAGGGCTACACAGTGAGACTGTCTAAAGAAGAAAACAAAAGAAAAACAACAACATAACCCAAACTAATAAAATCATGACTTTTGCCTCCCATCACCTGGAGGTAACAGCACTTCCTCCTGGCAATGCAGGTCTTCCCCATGGGCAGTTATAGTAAAAACAAAGAACTTCAGAAAGGACAGAAAGATAAGAATGTTTTTCCTCTTATGGCCACTTAAAACACACTTTTCTGAGGGTGGGGAGTTCTTGATCCTTTGTCACCTAGGACTGAGAGCTAAAACAAATCCTCCCCCTTAAATGGCTCTTGTCAAAGTAAGCTGTCACAGCAGCAGGAAAGAAACCAAGACACCCAACATACTGAATCTTTTGTTTGTTTAGACAAGATTTTACTGTGTAGCTCAGGCTGGCCTTGAATTTATGATCCTCCTGCCTCAGCCTCTCCAGTACTAGGATTACACACCACACACATCACCGAGTCTGGTTGCTACCATTGTTTGGTTATTTTACTTTATCACACTCTCCTCACGGGCCCCCCCCCACCCCACTCTTTTTGAATTGAAAGTCCACCTGCTTATAAATATTGGTTTAAAATACTAAAGATAGTCTGCTCCTGTTATTTTCCCTCCTTCCACGCTGCTGCTGTTCTCCCAATCCTGTACTCCTGCCAAATAAGCCCTTCCTGTGCTACGTAAAGTCACATGTCCATGTCCCACACAGCCTTTCTGCTGCTTCTGTTCTCTAGCCCCCTCGTCTTGTCCTGGTTGTCTTTCTTTCAAAGCTTCTCTCTGTGTTTGTAACTTACATGGAGTCATTACTGGTGGTTATTCATTTAATGTCTGTCTCCTCTACATGGGGCAAAGTTTGCAAGGTCAGGTCCTCCTCTCATTTTACTCAACATTGTACCTTGAGTACTGACAGCCCAGGACACAAAATGTTCTTTAAAATGTTTCTTGGGTGAATTAATACACAATCATTGTAATATAGTAAAAAAAAATGAATCTACTCAAAAGGGAAAAATAAGTGGATAGAATTATGGATAAAACAAGCAACAGCCACATGGGAGACCTATTATATTATTCTCTACTTTTCCATGTTTTATATTTTCTATGAGAGGAACTTATTCAAAGAACCAGAATATTGGGATCAGGGCTAGATGGCTCAGGGCTGTCTATACAAGTATGAAGACCTGAGTTTAGATCTGCAAGTAGTGTAACATCTGTAATCCTAGCGTTCCTATATAGAGTCCCTGGAAGCTCATGGGTCAATTAGTCTGGGGTATGTAGCAGGAAAACATACTCTGCTTCAAACAAGGTGTCAGAAGACTGACACCCAAGGCTGTCCTCTCTCAGCCACATGGGTACTGTATAGTATAAGCACATTGTAAGCATGAGTTTTCTGTCCCGGCAGGTCCCACTACCCTTCTCTGCCCCAAAGAAGCACTTACACATACTAGTTATAAAGCTGTTGGCCATTGGCTAGGTTTCTTATTGGCTATCTCTGTCTTACTTATCAACCCATTTCTAGTAATATAAGTATTTCCACGTGGTCTTATCTTACAGGGAACACTGGACCTGCAACTCCTTTGCCTGCTACATGACGACTGCACAGCATCTCCACAGAGAAGAGAGCGATTTCCTATTTGTCCCTGCTTATATTCTGATTCTGCCCAGCTAAGTCACTTCCTGCCTGTCTGTTCAGACCTCCAGACCTCTGTGGTTAGCTAGTGGCAGTTTCTGCCCAGCTACATCACTTCCTGGGATCACATGACAACTCCTCTCTGCCTACACTTCCCAGAATCCTCCTCATACCCTAGTCCCACCTGTCTTGCTGCCCTATTGGCCAGCAGTGTTTTATTCATCAACCAATAAGATAAACAGAAGAACATCCCCATCAGCACATCGCGCGCGCGCGCACACACACACACACACACACACACACACACACACACACAAGAGGTGAAGACTGACACCCAAGGCTGTCCTCTCTCAGCCTTGTGGACATTGTATAGTATGAGCACATCACTATCACATACACATACAAAAGGTGATGTGTCTGGGGAATAAGTGGTAAACTTAATTTAAAATAAAATAAATATTATCTCTTTATATTGAAATATCTTCCTTAACTCCAAATAAATTTTACTGACTTGAAAATGTTCCGATAATGGTTAATTGGACCACTTAGTGCCCCAGGCTGTGAGAAGACATAAATGTAAGCTTCTAGATCATCTGTCGTCAGCCGCCGTCCTTTCCTTCCAATGCCAGTGCTCCGGCTGGTGAACAGGTGTTTCAACGCCTAATGTATGCAAAAAGAGAATAGTTTTAAAAATTCAGTTATCTAACAATAAAATAAATCTCTCACTTTAAAGGGATCTGGGAGCCAGCAATGTAGCTCAGTTGGTAGAGTACTAAGCTAGTGTGCACAAAGATGTGTCTTGATCCCTGGCCCTGCTTAAACTGAACACAATAGCACCTGCCTGTCATCCCTGCACTTGGGAAGTAGAAGCAAGAGGATCAGAAGCCAAGATCACCCTTTCTACATACATGGCAGTCAAGGCCATCCTGACTGATTTGTCTCAAAAAATGGGGGTGAAGGCATGGTAGTTGATGTGGGGGGTATAGTTGGTGGAGGGTATGGTTAATGTGAGGGGTGTGGTAGTTGATGTGGGGAGGTAGTTGTGGGGTGTGGTAGTTGTGTGGGGGTGTCAGTTCATGTGGGGGTGTGATAGCTGGTGTGGGGGGTGGTAGTTGACGTGGTGGTTGTGGGGGTGGTAGTTGTGGAGGGTGTGCTAGTTGATATGGGGGAGGTAGTTATGGGAGGTGTGCTAGTTGATATGGGAAGGTAGTTGATATGAAGCGATAACTCCTAATTTTTGCTCTATCTCAAGGTTTCACTGCTTATAGATGCATTTCATAGTCTGCTTTCTTAGCTTTTTTCATTGTTCCTTTTCAATCCCTTTGTGTATTTTGCCCACCTGAGAAGCATTCTATCTTGGTGTCTGTGCATTCTATAAGACCCTGCCAGGTAGTACCCCTACTGAAATGCTTTCATTGATATTTCAACTACTGTTTAGTAGCCAGGAAGTTCTTTCTTACAAAGTTATTCAAATCAGAGTAACAAACACACTTTACCTCACAACTAAGTTTACACCCCAGTTCCCAACAGTTTCATACATAAATGGAGTGAAAGTTTAAAGAAATGGCCTTTAGTCTTATTGTCACAATTGCTGCTATTTTCAACTCAGTTTCTGTTACTCTTGGGTTTTTTGTTGTTGTTGATGATGATGATGTTTTTTTGAGACAGGATTTCTCTGTGTAGCTTTGGAGTCTATCCTGGAACTCGCTCTGTAGACCAGGCTGGCTTCGAACTCACAGAGATCTGCCTGCCTCTGCCTCCTGAGTGCTAGGATTAAAGGTGTGTGCCACCAACATCCAGCCCACACTTGGTTTTTCTAATTGTAAGCTATTAAATTGCATCAGTGATTCACCCTCGTCTCTAAAAGCACTGTTGTATACCATGATTTCTCAATGCACAGATCTAAACCACCTGTTCAGAATCATTGCCATGCCTGTTTAAAATATGAGTGCTAGGGCCAGAGAGATAGATCAGCCATTCAAGGTTAGGCTCAAAACAAAGAAATATGAGTGCTAAAGGCTCATGAGGTGGTTCGTCAGCTAAAGGCACTCACTGCCACAAATAATAAAAGTGGAACAATTTTTAATGTATTAACAAAATTTTTAATGTTTAACAAAAACACACTTGCAAAAATGTGAGATAGCATTATATATATGAGGTGATTAATTACATTATTTGTAATTGAAAACCAGGAAAAAAAAAACCCCTCAATACCCATCAATTGACGATTTGTTGAATAAATTCTAGTACAGTCACACAATAGTGTACAAAGTGCTCTTAGTACCACAGAGAGCACTATAGAGACTATATATGTTTCCCTGGAGTAATTGATAGGCTACATTACTGAGTAAAAAAAAAAAAAAATAGAACACTAGGTTACAAAATAGTGTCAGTCGTCTACTATTCACTGTGTAAGAAGGGTAAAGAATCACTTTATTGTAATAAACTCACAAATAAAAGCACCACTCAGCTAGATTAAGGTAGCCACTAAAACAAACACTTGCCTAGTCTCAGACTATATACTTCAATGAACTTCGGTAAAGTTAGAATATACATTCTGAAGCCCTGGAACTTCAACTAAGGTTTTACACTCCCACTATCAATTGAACCAAACCAAGGCCACAGATATTTATTTGATTGTTATGTTTGTTTGTCTGCTTTTCTTCCCTCTTCTTTTCTCTCCCATCTATCCCCCACCTCCTTTTGTCTTTTTTTTTTTAAGTGATTCATTATATTTCTCAGGCTGTTTATAGATTTTTAGGCTCAAGAAATCCTCCTGGGCGGCTAAGATAACAGGGTCATACCAACTGTTATTACTTTTAAAATTGTTTCAAGTTCCTTGTTTCTTTGCTTTTCTTTTAAACATCTCTTATCAGGGCTCGGTGACACATACCTGTAATCCCAACACTGGTGAGGTACAGGGCTGAGGGCAGAAGGTGTAGCCAGAAAGATTCGCACATGTAGGAGATTGCAGTTAGATCCGTCTCTATCACCATGCACAAAACTTAAGTCCAAATGGATCAAAGACCTCAACATAAATCCAGCCACACTGAACCTCTTAGAAGAGAAAGTGGGAATTACCCTTGAACGAATTGGTACAGGAGACCACTTCCTGAACCTAACACCAGTAGCACAGACATTGAGATGACAATTAATAAATGGGACCTCCTGAAACTGAGAAGTTTCTGTAAGACAAAGGACATAGTCAGTAAGACAGAATGACAGCCCACAGAATGGGAAAACATCTTCACCAACCCCACATCTGACAGAGGGCTGATCTCCAAAATATACAATGAACTCAAGAAGCTAGACACCAAAACACCAAACAATCCAATTAAAAAGTGGGGTGCAGAACTAAATAAAGAATTCTAAAATGGCTGAAAGACACCTAAGAAAGTATTTAACATCCTTAGCCATCAAGGAAATGCAACTCAAAACAACTCTGAGATACCATCTTACACCCACCAGAATGGCTAAAGTCAAAAACACCAATGACAGTCTATGCTGGAGAGGATGTGGAGAAGGAGGAACACTCCTCCATTGGTGGTGGGAGTGCAAACTTGTAAGACCACTCTGGAAATCAGTATGGCGGTTTCTCAGGAAAATGGGAATCAGTCTACCTCCAGATCCAGCAATTCCTCTCTTGGGTATATACCCAAAGAATGCACATTCATACAATAAGGACATATGTTCAACTATGTTCATAGCAGCGTTGTTTGTAATAGCCAGAACCTGGAAGCAACCTATATGCCCCTCAACTGAAGAATGGATAGAGTAAATGTGGTACATTTACACAATAGAGTACTACTCAGCGGGGGGGGGAGGACAATGGAATCTTGAAATTCAAATGCAAATGGATGGAACTAGAAGAAACCATCCTGAGTGAGGTAACCCAGTCACAAAAAGACAAACTTGGTATGTACTCACTTATATACGGATTTTAGACATAGAGCAAAGGATTACCAGCCTACAATCCACACTGCCAGAGGAGCTAGGAAACAAGGAGGACTCTAAGAGATGATGGCAGGGTCCCTTGAAGAAGGGGAGGGGAACAAGAACCTCTCAGCAAATTGGGAGCACAGGATGGGGGGAGAGAGGAAAGAGGTGGGAAGGGAGCAGGGGAACAAGAGGACTGAGACGGGAGGAATAGAGGAGGGCAAGAAAGGAGATGCTTTGATAGAGGGAGATAGCACAGGTTTGGAGAGAGGTCTGACACGGGAAATGTTAGCGGATCCACAGGGATGACCACAACTAAGAATCTAGGCAGTAGTGGAGAGCCTTCCTTTGATGTCCTTCTCCTATAATGAGATTGATGACTACCTTGGCTACCATTCCAAGAGCCTTCATCCAGTAGCTGATTGAAGCAGAAACAGGCACCCACAGCTAAACACTGAGCCATCCTCCTGGAATCCAGTTGTAGAGAGGGAGGAGGGATGAGCAAAGGAGCCAAGACAGTGCTGGAGAAACCCACAGAAACAGTTGACCTGACGTAGTGAGAGCATGGAGACCCTAGTATGGGGAACCAGCATTGGACTGAACCAAACCCTTAGAATGTGGGTGCCAGCTAGGAGGCCAAGACAGTCTATGGGATCTCTAACAGTGGAGCCAGTGTTTATCCCTAGTGCACAAATGGACTTTGGGAACCCATTCCCTATGGAGGGAAACTATTGCAGCCCAGATACAGGAAGGAGGGCCTAGGCCCTTCCCCCAATGATGTGATGGACTTTCATGGTTCCCCATGGAGGGCCTCATTATCCCTGGGGAGTGGGTTGGGGATGGGTTAGGGGTTGGGAGGATGGGAAGGCGAGGCAATGGGGGATGAATATGTAAATAAGTGATTAAAATTTTATTAAAAAGTGATCGCCTTGACATCCAAACTGTGGTCTCGAAATACCATTTCCTACTAGATGGAATGACAGTATCTTGGATAAATGGATGATTCCATACTGGGACAGGAAGAAACAGATTCCTGAGTAAAATGTTAACTATCATCATTCTTAAGTGATTATGTAACAAAGACACAGAAGCCAAGATGTGGGGATTCCCACTTGGCTCAGAAGGAATAACATGAACTTCAAAAACATTAATGACTCGTATTTATGGGCATGCCAACTATATACTCATCACATGAAACATTCATCCTGTTACTTTTGTATTTAAAAACCACCACAAAGATGTGAAGAGTTCCAGTTGATAAAAGCAGAAAGAATGATAGAATTAGAAAGTCACCATTTTGCACACTGTGCTGAAATAATAAAACTAGATTATTAGTGGCAACATAAATTTACCACAGTGCCAGAAAATTTTGGCTGGGCTGTGGCTCAGGGGATACTCTAACTAAAATGGAGACAATAAAACACAACAGGTTTTTGGGCTGGAGAGATGGCTCAGCAATTAAGAGCACTGACTGTTCTTCCAGAGGTCCTGAGTTCAATTCCCGGCAACCACATGGTGACTCACAACCACCTTGAATGAGATCTGGTGCCCTCTGCTGGCAGTCAGAAGACTGTATACATAATAAATAAAATCTTTAAAACACACACACACACACACACACACACACACACACACCAGGCTTCACTGAGAGGACACACAAGGAACTGTATGGTATTGCCTTTTGAAAATCCTTGTCAATGGAAGCAGAAGCAGAGATTCACAGCTAAGCACTGAGCTAAATTCCTGGAGTCCAGTCATAGAGAGGGAGGAGGGATGAGCAAAGTGGTCAAAAGTATGTTGGGAAAACCCACAGAAACAGTTAACCCAAGCAAGTGGAAGTTCACGGACTCCAGACTGACAGCAGGGGAAGCAGAAGCTTGAAACAAAGGCCTGCAGGGCTCCTGCTCATTAAGTTCAGGGCCAGATCATTACATGTTGAAACAACTGTTGTGGACCAATTAGTCACCCTGTTTTTCTTCTTCAGACTGGCCAACCCTAAATTAGGGGAGGAAGACCTTTCAGAGACAAAACACAAACAAACAAACAAACAAACAAACAAACAAAAAACCCCAGGGCTCTAGAAGAGACTGGATTTTTTGTTTCCCCAGTCATTTTATTTCTGTGTGCCTACTGCATGAGCATTTCCTTGTGCCCAATAAACGTCTTTTTTCAACAGCTGATTCTCTCTGTTCTTGTTTGCTGTGTTTGAGATTTCTCTGCTGATATCTCTCTTGTTTAAGATTTTTTTTCCCTGCCTTTTAATTCTTTAACTGGTGGAGAAAACAACCAGATTAAGACCCCTACATAATAACAGTAAGATACAAGCTCCTTACAAAGTTGAACAGCCAGGCTTTCAACCACATCAGTATATAAGAGATATAAAATTAAGTAAGCTGGAGAGAAAGTCATTAAACCTCCTGGGTGGGTTGAATGAGAATGGTACCAAGGCTCATATGTTTGAATGCTTGGTCCCCAGTTGGTGGAATTGATTTTGGAAGGATTAGGAGGTGTGGCCTTGCTGGAGTAGGAATCTCTTCCTACAACTTATGGATCAGATATGAGCTCTGGGCTACTGCTCCGACACCATGTCTGCCTGCCTGTCTGCTCCTGTGCTCCCTGTCATGATAAGGGACTGAGTCTCTGAAGCCTTAAGAGATTGGCTGTCTTTTCTAAGTTGCCTTGGTCATGGTGTCTCCTCACAGCAATAGAACAGTAACTAAGACACCTAATAACTAAGTTTTAACATCTTTATTTCATTTTTCATTCTTAAAGATGATTCTCATTAAAAATGTTTGTCATAAAGAAGAATGATTAATAATAGAATATTTGTTTGACTTACCTTGAAATCATTAATTGAGAACATAAATTCTGGGAACCATGGTATTTGGAAGAAGTAATAGAAGCTAGATCTGAGCAGCTGGGCCGGGTGCCGAAGAATGTAGTCTGAAATTGAAGTACCGCGTCAGACGCCATCCGAGGGCTGCAAATGAGTCACTGTCTTTGCAGGGACTGTGACACTGATTTCACTTTTTAGGCAATCCCGTTAAAGAATCCAAAAGTAAGTAAGGCTTCCATACACCCTTGTTCTTTGATTTTAGATTGGTACTTCCAGTGTTTAAAAAACGAATAGCACTTTAAATAAACCAAAGGCTCCTTGAAGCTTCCCCTCAGCAGGGAGCCCGGATTACTCTGCTGGTCCTCCAAGGTCATTAACCAAAACCTAACAATTTTCTTAGGACTCTATGGTGATGCGGTATCCCATTCTTTAAAAGAGTTTTCTTATAGACAGAGTCAGATTGAAGTCTTTATCACTGACCCTCAGGAGAAACTGAACCATTTCCTACACATTTATTCATGCATCTAGAAAAGTATTCAATGACAGTTTCTGAATCACTGTAGACCAGGGGTTTATCAGTGGACGAACAGAAAAGGTCCCCAAGAGATGTCCTCTACAGAGAAAGCATCTTAAAGACCACTCCAAAATCAGTGGTGTGAAGACCAAAGGGGGCCCTCAAAATGGCAATGCTGGTGACAATGTCTTCAACAGAAGGATTGTCATTGGGTAAACAGAAGACACCAGAACCTCCCTTAATCCATCCCCCTGGGCAATGGCATCTGGTTCCTGGTCAATCCAAACAGCCCATATCAGCTCAAAGACACCCCTGCCTGCCCCCACACACTGTCATATAAAACCTGCTTGCTTTTCTGAAATTTTCTTCTCTCTGCCTACCCCCCCCCCCAGAGATAGCCTTGAATGTTGATCCCCAGTACACCTTTCTTTCTACCTACGGAGTGGTGGAGTTTGGTGATTTCACTGAGCCCTTGCTAATAAGTGGTTGAGTACTTTGTCTCACGTGCATGAGGCTCTGGGTTCACTTCCCAGCAACACACAGCATAAGGTAGAGAAAAGCTCTTTGAGCACAAGTCGACACAGTGACCCTAACAACACTAACAGTCACTGTGCTCTTCACCACTGTACACTGCTGAGTAAATCAACTAATTAATTCAATTAAAATTCAGTTTCTCGGGGTTGGAGAGATGGCTCAGAGCTTAAGAGCACTGGCTGTTCTTCCAGAGGTTTTGAGTTCAATTCCCAGAAACCACATGGTGGCTCACAACCATCTGTAATGAGATCTGGTGCCCTTTTCTGGCCTGCAGATACAGTACTCATACATAAAATAAATAAATCTTTTTTTAAAAATCAGTTTCACGTAACAATGAAATGACAAAACCTTAATTTTGTTAAATCTTAGCCTTTGACTGTATCTTTTTAATAGGCCACATGACCAGATATGGAGGACATGGCACACAGTGCTCCTACTCACCTGAATATAAAGGTGGATTCAAGAAAAGCACCTGTGACCAGGTGTGGTAGAGCACACCTTTGATCCTAGCACTTGAGAGGCAGAGGCAGGTGGATCTCTGTGAGTTTGAGGCTAGCATGGTCTACAGAGCTAGTTCCAGGACCCTGTCTCAAAAACAAAAGGAAAGAAAAACACCTGTGCAGCTTAATTAATGAGTGGGTGCTTCATCTTTTATTTTTACTGCAAAGACCTACTATCTTTAGTCAACCTGGATGTTCTCTCTCTCTCCTCTCCCTCTCCCTCTCCCCTTCTCCTCCTCCCCTTCCTCTCCTCCTCCTCCTCCTTTTCTGCCTCCTCCTCACTTCCTGTCTCTCCCCTGAGGCATGGTCTTACTAGGTAGCCCTCAAACTCTATGAAGACCAGGCTAGCCTCAAGCTCAGTGCCCTTCCTACCTTTGCCTCCTAAATGCTTGGATTAAAGGTTTAGGTCACTTGGCCCACTCAAAAATCTCTGGAAAATGACCACAATAGGTAATTTAAAAGAAAAATAATCCACAGTCTCTGTTATCATTGATACAACTCAGGTTTCCAATTGCAAATAAGACTTTTTGGAAACATTTTAATCTGCTACTAGGAGCTAGAAAAGTTTTCAGCATTGAAGACTTTCCTGAGTAGATGAGGGTTGAATTAGTTAATGTGATTTTTAAAACATGTTGACTTGCTGAAGATCTGCATGCCTTTACAATCAATGATGTCTCAATGCATGACAATTCAAATAATTCAAAGGGCAAGAATGCTATAGAGAGTCACGGATCTACAAGAGCTAGTTCCAGGATAGGCTCCAAAGCCACAGAGAAACCCTGTCTCGAAAAACCAAAATAGGAAAGAGAGAGAGAGAGAGAGAGAGAGAGAGAGAGAGAGAGAGAGAGAGAGAGAGAGTCACAGATCTCAATGTAACTGTGTCACAGTCTTGCCAACATTTTCGAATCGAATTTTTTTTGTTTGTTTTTGTTTTTCAAGACAGGGTTTCTCTGTGTAACTTTGGAGGCTGTCCTGGAACTAGCTCTTGTGGACCAGGCTGGCCTCAAACTCACAGAGATCTGCCTGCCTCTGCCTACTGAGTGCTGGGATTAAAGGCTTGTGCCGTTATTGTTCCGCAGGCTTTCATTCTTTATTCTCACAGATAAATGTATCTTTCACTCCTCACCCCATCAAAGACAGCTGCTTTTTTACAACAGAGACTATTGCAAAAGGCCACACAACGAGTCAGAATGCGGAGAACTACTGACCCTGGGATACTCAACCCCAAATGATAGATCTTCAACTCCTGCACCTAAGGCTCAAGAGACATCAGGTAAGAGAGAGCAGGGGGTAGAAAGATTGTTAAGAGTCAAAAGGGATCAGGAGGTCTGCCTTGAGGCTGTGTCTTCGATCTATGAACTCTCCACAACATGGGCGTCTGCCTAAACAAGACCTGAACAATTCCAACACCAGTTGACATGGAATCAGTCTCCCCAGGGAGGAGCCCTGGGATTGGTTATCTAGTACCGAGTGGTCAGCCATATGCACACGGGCAACACTGAACAGACTCGGTGGCCGTATTTATACATTTACGTGTGTAGAAGAGGGAGCCATGAATTTGGGAGTGGACATGGGCCGGGTAGAAGAAGGAGAAGACGGGGATGTGAAAACGCTCCTGCCTTTTCCGATGGCAAATTTGTGTGTGGCCAGGTTTCTTCTCACGCGTCTGTTCTAAGAACATATTGCAGCAGATTGAAGGCAGAAGCAGCGAGGAGAGCCCAGCTGTCTTCTATTATGCAGAATTAAAGAGATTTGTAAAATGTGAAGCATCCTTTTCACTAAAATTTGTTCAGTGTAGTTAGTTTTCATCAAAATACAGTGTTTATGTGAACCCGTAATATTTTTTTTAAATGAATGGATATATAAATACGTTTTAAATATCCCAGTTCTGATTTCCTAAGTAGTAACCACTTATAGATAAAGCCCAGATAAAGAGTCTCCTCCAGATCTTTAATAACTTTAAGAGAATAAAGAAATAAAATTGAGGATTAGAAATATTTTTGTGTTCAATAGCTGAAGTACTCAAAAAAAAAAAAAAAGGAGAATTTCTTCTTGCCAGGATTCATGACTTTCAAAGTACTGCCGCCACATTTTCTCTATTACCCCTCTCCATGTTAAGTGAAATATTGTCCAAAAAAGTGAAATTATACAAGCAAATAAGAAGCTAAATTTCCTTGTCTTTTTTTTTTTTTTCAGAAAAATTTAAAACCAAAGTATGAGGCTGGCATTATAGCTCAGTAGTAGCGAGTGCCTCACTAACAATTATTGAGACCCAGGCTTGATTCCCAAACCTGAGCATGCATACGCGCGCGCGCGCACACACACACACACACACACACACACACACAGAGAGAGAGAGAGAGAGAGAGAGAGAGAGAGAGATGAGCTAGGCTTGTTAGCAAATGCCTCTAATCTCAGCTTTTGGGAGGATGAGGCAGGAGTATTGAATGCTTAGGTTAGCCTGGGCTATGATTAATATCCTGTCTGAAAAACCAACCAAACAAATTAAGGTATTTAACGTATCATGTATCATGTGTCATCTTGGCTTAGTTGGCTAATTTTATTGATTTATCAATCTATAGATTTACTTATTTGTTATCTATCTTTGAGGTAGTCTCACTGTGTAGCTCAAGTTGGCCTTGGACTCTTCACCCTCCTGTCTCAGCCTCCCAAGGGCTGAGGTTACAGACATGCACCATCATGCCCAGACTTCCTTTGACTTTTAAAAGATTATGTTAGCCAAATTTTGCTCTTTAATCCAAAATGTCAGTGGTGACAGGGGACTACGTGGTTTAGTAAAAGCGTAAGCTCACCTGTAAATACACTTGGATGTGGGAAGTTAATAACAACAAGCTTCATTATCATCTCAGGGTAGCAAATGGAAATCAGCCAGGCAATCATGCCTCCCCAGTCGTGGCCAATCAGGACACATTTGCTGTACCCTGTTACCAAGAGAAACATGTTGGCATTGCGATGGTGACATCATTATCTCACTCACATAAAAGAGTTACATTTCTGGAACTATTCTTACCACTATCTTACCCAGTATTCCCTATTAATTATACACTTTTAAAATGTGCATTTATGTGTGCCTGCAAGTGCATGCGCTCACACTTATAAGCCCAGTATACCTGGATGGTAGAAGCAGGAGTCTAAGGCCAGCTTGGGTTACATAACTTATTGTCTGAAGAAAAAAAATAAAGAGCTATTGAGTCCAGTAGTTCTAAAACTTGTTTGTACATTAGATACTAGTCCAAGAGCTGAGTATAGGTAACTGCTGAGTGCTCCGTCCTTAATGGGACTTTTATGTCAACCCATCCCCACCAAAGCTCAGAAAATGTTGAGGAAGAGTGGGTGAAAGAATATGGACGCTGGAGGGTGGAGAGCAGTGCTGTGTGACACACTGTCTTCCAGACACACGCGGCCATTGCGCTCACGAATTCACTTGCAGCTATGGTTAACTGTGCAAAATCCAGCCAGTGAACTTAACTACACATGGGCAAATGGCTCTCGGGGATCTACCCTCCTGAGGAACTATTGACAACTGAGGGCACTGAAGCAGGGCTGGCCTCTGGGAAAGAATGGCTTCTGGGGTTGGGGCTATTTTTCTTTTAGGGCTGTGGCTGCTGTTAGATAGCTCACACTCTGGTTGCTGGGCCCCACACCATGTGCAAATGTCAATACTAATGGGACTTAGTGAGTTTAAAAAATAGAATTAACGAAGAGGACATGAATGTGAAGGGCTACGGGGAATTGGGGGGGGACAAATAAAATGTATTCTAAAAAAAACGGAATAGTTCAGTTTTGTCTTGTGAAGCTGTGTCTGGAAGCTGTGGTAGAGACTGCATAAGAGTAGGTCATAAGTAAGATCATTTGGGGTAGAGTTTGAATGTTAGCTGTCTTAGTGATACAGAGCCTGGTTTTTATTATTAATATACTATTCTTTTCATTGCTATTTTAGAGTGTCCTTCCTTTAATTATAAAAACCATTTACTATAGAACAGTATGCTGTGGTATGCCAGCAATAACCTCATAACACATGTTTACTAATTCTCTTGCTTGTACAGAGGCCACATTCAGTGACTTGTGTATGCTACCTGGCCTTGTGTGAGCACACTAGGATACTGGCACAAAGACAAGCTTGCTTAATGATGCATTTCTCAGAACACGTCCTATCATGAAGGGACACAAGGATGTGTAAGTTTCATTCTGGGTAATCATAATGATATTTTGGATTAGGTTTAAGATATCGATTACTAGAGATCCCTACAGAGAATTTCCTTTGTGCTTACAGCTAAGACTCACTTGCAATTTCTTTCTAGCCTTTCTCAACATTACTTAACTAACACTTGCAAACAGCCCTCCCCTCCAGTCTTCTTGTTTTTATCATTGTTTTGGCTATAGGATTCTGTGATGACAAATTTAGATCTGTTCTAACTGAATTATTGGCAAATTTGAATGAAGCATATATAATTGAATCAATGCCAGAACCTGTGTTACTATGACAGATCGAAGGGAAAAAAAAAACTAAACTAAACAAACAAACAAAAAAATGCACTGCTGATGGCACTTGGGCTCTATTACTCTAAACTTCCTGACTGGATCTCTACTTTAATTATATCACGATCGATAGTCTTCAGTCTTGACTTAGTGATGTTCCTTTCCCTACCTCTGATGTTATCTTATTAGCACACTTGATGGCTTGGCCAAGGAGTTGGCACAGTAGGCAGAGGCACATGGGACCAAGCCTGAGTCACCTGAGTTTCATCCCCAGAGCCCATGTGGTAGAAGGAGATAATGGAGAACTGAATCTTGGGAGTTGCCCTCTGACCTCCACAGCCATGTGCCTTTCCTGATACAAATGTAAATAAACACACAAATGGCAGCATGTAGGTGTTTCTTTGTTTTTTAGTCAAAGTGAGGTTTGTAGATTGGATGATTATTGTACAAGAAATATACCGTGTGCCTCTTTGGTGTTAGACTTGGCCATATGACTAGCTTTGGTCCCTTGGTGGCTGTGTGATTTGATTTGTTGATTGTTGTGATTTGACCATGTGACTTGCTCTGCCTTGTGAACTGTTAGCCAAAACTTGAAATACACAGTGTGGCTGGCCTCAGCCTCTCACCACTTCTGCTGTCACTGGGAGAAGGCTCCCACCTGCTCCTATCTATTTCCTTAGCTTGGGCCACAGCTCAATCCATATGTAGAGAAGGGAACTAGTCCCATGTAGACTGACAACCAGCCTGTGGATGCCTGTAGAACCCCGAGCACAAGAATAAATGACATGGTTGTCTTTCCCTGAGTATGAGAAGGTTTCTCACATGCTGCTGTTGTAGCTTATAGATACAAGAGAGATGGTGTAAGTGCCTCTGCATCTTATAATGGTTTTAAAATGAATAAAGGCTCTGAAGAGAGAAACTTTCAGAGTGTAATTTTCTTAAAATGATAAACAGTATGCCTTATATCTATTTTTTTTGTCCCAGTCAAATGGGGACCCCCTTCTCTTATTCTCCCTAGAGAAGACAGGAAAAGTTTGTCTGTTTTATTTGTGGTTCACTATTTTTGATATGCCAGGGATGGAATCCAGATCCTTGGACATGGTAGCCAAGCCTATCACTGAACAGCAGCTGTGGCCCTAAGAAAGCTCTGTTTTTAAATGCAGGTTCTGAAAGTCATTCTTAGCTGGATGCTCAATATGCAGGATTTTAAGTTCCTCACACAAACAGTCTGGGCCATATACTCAGAATTCTGTAGCTGGGGTATTGATAACAGTTTAGCTAGACAGAAAACATCCTCCCAAGAAAAGAAGTGGTCGATTCACAGTTTGTTAAATGTTACTTCCTTTAAAAGAGTCAATGATGATATTGTGGAGATGTCTTGGCACTGAAGAGCACTTGCTGTTCTTGCAGAAGGCCCGGGTTCTTTCCCAGCACCCACGGCAGGCTCACAACCACCCTAACTTCAGTTCCAGGTTCTGGTGCCCTCTTCTGGCTTCTGTGGGAATCAGGCATGCACATGGTGCAATACATACATACATGTAGGCAAAACACTTATAAACACACAAAAAAATAACAAATAGATATTTTAAAAGGACTCAGGTGTTAGAAGTAATTATTGCTCTATCAGAAGCTAGAATGTGGATCCCAGTGCCCAGTGCAAGATCACAAACACTGTAACTTTCAAAAAAATGTCATGCCTTCTCCTGGTGCCTGCATACACATGTGTGTATACACCCTCACGAACACAGAAACACATACACACACTTAAATGATTTTTAAAGGCTAGCTTACCTAAGGTGTCTAAAACATCCTTTATGTCTGCAATCAGACAATCGAGTTTATAACTCTCTTGGTGAGTGGGCGCATCTGACTCGCCATAGCCTCTCAGATCCAGCGCGACAACTCTGTACTCACTCTTAAATTCTCTCAGCTGATGGCGCCAAGAGTACCTGAGGGAGAAGGAAACATTAAGACTGTTGACCTGGTAAAGCTGCTTTCCAACGAGCCTGACTCCCGATCTGGACCCCAAGAACGTACATGTTTGGAGGAGAAAAACCATTCCCACAGTTTTTCCTCTCCCCTCCATGCATGTGTCATGTCACACACATGCACATGTACAAAAATAAATAAATGTTCATGGATATCAAGAGTAGCTTAGCAGACCATTGAGAGAGGAGCTTATACAGGAATTCTGATTGGTCAGCACAATGACACCTTATTTCAATGCTCTTCTGATTGGTCAGGATAGTGACACCCTGTCTCAAAACCATAGGCGATCTTACCATTCAGGCTGTAGACAGCACCACCAATTAAAATGGAAACAAAGACCTAATCCATCAAAGTCCATAGTTCTGGAAAAGTCTCCAAATGTACTAACTTTGCTCTTTGACTTCTGTAGTTTTGCTTCCAATTGTTCTTGTTAACTGAAGTATGTCAACCCAAGGTATGTTTTTTTTTGTTATTGTTTGTTGTTTGTTTACAACTCACCCTGGGAGAGGTTTGGGAGCTACACTGAAACCTGTCATCAACCTCTGGCTTCTACACATACCCATGTGTGTAAGTGTAGTTCACACAGGTATACACCGCACATACATGCACCAAAGTAAACTAACAAGACCTACCATACAGTCCAGCTATGCCACCTCTTGGTGCATCTGAAGGAGTCTAAGGGGCATCCACAGAATTGCATAACACATGTTTATCTGAGTACTTTTTGTAATAGCTAAGATATGGAATCAGCCAACATGCTCATCAACAACTGGATGGATATAGAAATATGGTACAACTAACTACACAAGGGCACATCACCCTTATTACTTACACATAAAGAAGAATGAAGTCATCTTGTTTTCAGGAAAATGACAAAACTGGAGACATCATGTTCAGCAAAGCAAGCCAGTCTCAGGAAAGCAAACACTGCATGTTTTCTCTACTTCCCTCCCACTGTCTCTCCCTTCCCTCCTCTCTACATCATATCTATATATGAGGTATACATATCTATCACAAGTATAGAGGAAGAAGGGGAACAAGGAAAGAGTTGAAGAGGAGCAAGCAAGTGTAACAGGGACAGATATGAGCTAAATATGATACATATCATAATGAAACTTAGTAATATTGTATATTAACTAAAATTTATTTTTGAATAATGCAACCATTGCTATTAATGTGTGAGAACAAGAGAGCATCCCAGGCAATTCTGAGAACTAGGGAGAGGTCAACATGTTAACAAATTGCAAAAGAATAATTTTGTGTGTATGTGCTTATATGGGTATAAGTGCAAATGCATGCCTGTGCACGTGTGTGTGTGTGTGTGTGTGTGTGTGTGTGTGTGTGTGTGTATGATCAACCTAGAGTTTTGTTCCAAAGGTGCAGTCCACCTTGTGTTTTTTTTTGTTTGTTTGTTTTGTTTTTGTTTTTCAAGACAAGGTTTCACTGTGTAGCTCTGGCTGTCCCTGAACTTACTCTGTAGACCAGGCTGGCCTTAAACCTAGAGATCCTCTTGCCTCTCTCTCTCTCTCTCTCTCTCTCTCTCTCTCTCTCTCTCTCGTGTGTGTGTGTGTGTGTGTGTGTGTGTGTGTGTGTGTGCTCGTGTATGGAGGAGTATTGCGTATTAGTGCAGGTATCTGTTGAGTCCAGAAGATGGTTTTAGGTGCCTTTAGAGCTGGAGTTACAGGTGGTTATGAACTCTTTGATGTGGATGCTGAAAACTGAACTTAGGTCCTCTGAAAGAGCAGTAAGTGCTCTTAATCGATGAGCCATCTTTGCAGCCTCCACCTTGGTTTGTTTGTTTTGAGACAGGGTCCTCACTGGCTCAATACTTGCAGATCAGGCTAGACTGGATGGCCAGTGAATTGGAGACCTGCCTGTGTCTGCCTCCACAATCCTGGGTTTCATTTGTGGTGCCTGGCTCTTTTACATGGTTCTGGGGCTTGGACTCAGGCTCTCATGTTCACACAGCAAGTGCCTTGCCTACTAAGCTTCCTCCTACAAGACCCTAAAGAATAATTTTAAATATCCCTTTTCTGGTATTTATAAATAGTAACATATTTGACTCACATTTCAGGCATAAATGAAAACTGAAATCACTGTAGTGACCAACTGATGGCATTGTTGTTCATAGAAATAAAACAAACTGTCATACATTGCAAAAAGCAACAACCCTTATGATACTGAAACAGAACTATATTCACACTCATTGCCCTAAAATATTTTTTTGTGTGTGTGTGCAAGTGTGATAGTGGTTTGTTATTACTTTCCTGAAATGGGATTATGTTAGAAGCTCAGGCCTGAGCTAGCACTATGTAGACCTAGCTGGCCTCAGGCTCCTTTGTCTTGGCTTCTCCATGCCGGGATCACAGGCAGGTGCCACCATGCCTAGCTTTTCTGACAGTTTTAGACAATAGTGGAGAAAACAAACAACAACAAGACCATATCATCCCCTGTTATTCTTCTTAAAACATTTCAGGATCCTAGTTTTCCGGGCCAGACACTTTGAGGTGCGGAGTATCCTTTCTCTCCTTGCCAAGGAGGCTGAGGTTGTCGCCTGTTGCCACCGTGCTGAACTCAGGATGAGGCGTGTGCATTTGCCTCTGCATGTGAGTGATGGCAGCATCCCAGACAGCTGCAGATGGAGGCAACTCATAGAAACTTCCTGGGTCAGCTCAAAATATTTTTAAAAGACATGCAAATTGAGGCAGAGGGAGAGAAAAAAATCATCTTTTGACAAACAGCCATAATTTGGGCTGATTTAGCTAAAGTTCCCACAGATGTGTTTGTTATCTTATCTAACGTTTCCTGTGGGTTTAAGACTCAGCTGAGATCCTGCTGTTTCTGTGCCCCATGTAATAGTATGCATTAAACATTGCCACTTCTCAACAGTCTTGGGTGGCAATGATACATCTAGATGGCATGTTAGACTATGTGGTGCTTCTGAGGCTTGAAAAACTGTAAGGTTTTCCTTTTATTTTCTTTACTTCTGTGTGTTTGTGCCTGTGTGATTGTCTGCAGAGACCAGAAGAGGATGTTGGGTCCCCATACTTGAGCAGTGGGTGTTTTTTCCACTGAACTATCTTCCTAGTCCCCAAATGATCAGACTTTGAGGATTTACTGGAACCACGTGAAGGGTTTTTCACACGCTTTGAGTCCATCCTCACAACACCTCTGCAAGAATATTACAAGTGATATTTAGGGTCCCTGTTCTATTTTGCTTTTCTGTCAAGGTGATAAAGTATTCTAACCATAAGCAGGAAGAACCCCCACCCCCATCCCTCTTATACTCAGCTAGCTTTCTTATCTAGTCCAGGCCTGTCTGTCTAGCCATGGTGCTGCCCATAGTAGGGTGGGACCTCTTGCCTCAATTACCAATCAAGAAAACCTCTCAAAGACATGGCCACAGGCCAATTTGATCTTAACAACTCTTTACTTGAGGTTCTCTCTTTGAGTTGACAACAAAAACCAACCAGGGCATTCCTGTGACCCTAAGTGGACTCATTGCTTTTGCTACTCTGGGCAAATTTGATTAATACTTCAGGATAACATATAATAGTAAGAGGCCATGTTGAGCACTACATGTGGTGAGTGAATCCCTTACACATGTCTCAAATTGCACTGGGAGTTTTTCTCTTTCTTAATTAATTAGGCTGTCTCCAGATAGAAGAATGACAAATTTACCCATGCAGCTAAACCCAGAGTGGGGTGGGAACCTTCAAGTATGAAAGTCTTCTCAGAGAGCTACCTATAGGCTTCTTGCACTATAGAAATTAGGAGATGGATAGCACCATCCTGTGTCTTTCCCTTCCATGCCAATACTTTCTAGAACACTAACTTTCTCAATGCACTTGTCCACAGACTCCCTTTCGTTCATAAAATAATGACTAAATTGTCTAAAGGTAATACTCCCAGGCTAGATGTGTTTAAGGTTGCAGGAGCGGTCTGGCTGTGACACTGTGTCACCCCCTTTGTCATCAGTGTCGATGTGGCTGATCTGTCTGGATAGGTGGGTTATCTGTTTCCTCCCTCACCATTCTACTCAGAGCCTTCTGAAGCTTCCTGGTGAGTGGAAGAGGACAAACTTCCCAGATAGAGGAGGGCCTTTCTCTGGACAATGGTATGTGGGAAGCCCCTGCAAGACCTCCAAATTAGCTCTTGGGGCTGCTTAAATCAAGACACAAAACCCTTAAGGCTCTAAAGAACATGAAGAATTTGTAATGGTAGAATTCCAGACACCATGAGACAGTAGGAGAGAGGTTTTCGCCTTTCAAATGTTAGCCAATATTCTACTCTTGAGTCAACCCAGAGAACATGAACCATGTTTTTATTCATGAACCATCTGAAGGTCATACCCCTCTTTGGACAAAAAGGACTTTCTTCTCACCCAGCTTTTTCTATCTTTTAAATGTGCTAATTGTTCTTAATTGGATGTTACTTTCATCTGTTTTTATTTGGGTCATTTGGGACCATTAGAGAATGGCAAATACCTCCTTCTATCACTGATATTGCCTATAAATATTCTGAAACAATTAGCCAAAATGACAGTTGTATTAGTTTGGGTTTTCACTGCTGTGACAAGACACCATGACCAGGCAACTCTTAGAAAGAAAACATTTAATTGGGGTGGTTGCTTACAGTTTCAGAGGTTCAGTCCATTATCATCATGGTGGGACCATGGAAGTGTGCAGGCAGATGTGGTGCTGGAGCTGAGAGTGCTATCTCTTGACTTTCAGTCAACAGGAAGTCAACTGACAGTCATGATGAGGGAAGCTTGAGCAAAAGAGACCTCAAAGCCCACCCCTAGAGTGACACACTTCCTCCAACAAGGCCACTCCCTTTGGGGGCCATCTTCTTCTAAACCACCACAATGGTATTAAGAGAAAGGCTTTTAAAGAGGGATTAAGCCACAAGGTCAGGGCCCTCATATATGAAATTAACAACCTAACCCAGTAAAGCCCTTAAGAAAATTAGCTCCTACCCTTCTACCACATGAGGATATGATAGTTGATCCGAAGGGCAAAGCAACCAGGCAGCATTTTGGAAAAAAGGACTGGGTCCTTAACAGACACTGAATCTCCCAAGGACTTAAGCTTGAATATCTTGGCCTTTAGGACTGTGGGCAGCAAATTTCTGTTCTGGTATTTTATTCTATCCACACAAATAGATTAGGGTAGTAACCACTATAAATTTTTGGCTACAGGCATTTTTTTAACTTTAAAACATTTAGGTCTTTAATAGAGCCTTCATTCTTATGTGCCTGTGGCCATATCTTCTCAACAAGCCAAAAGCTTCCTGCCAAGTATTCCAAGGCTGTGGTTTGCTCAGATCTCCTTCCCTCACCAGGACTGTATTTTATTTTATTCACTGTAGTTACTCTGCAGAAAATGTTTCATAACTTGAAATTTCAGAAAATTGAAGACTTTTTTACTCTTCAGAGAGAAAGGCAGAGTTGGGGTGGCAGTGCCATTCTGCAAGCATAGCTGGGGGGCTGAAAGAGAAGGGGGTCTCAGTTTAAGGCCAGCCTGGGCAACACAGCAAGACACTGCCTCAAAAAGCAATTAGGGTGGTCTTTCCTATGCATGTTTTTAGATTAGGAGGGAAACCATCGCTGTGTTTTTTGGGAACATTCGAGAGTAATCACCCTGGGAGATGACCTGGCCTTACAAGAAAGTGGTTCTACTGTAAGTTCTATGGTTAGAATGTTTGCTCCGGCAAAATTCATGGTGACAATTAACTGTGATTGCAGTAGTGTCATGAGTAGGCCTTGTTAGACATGAGTAGGACATGAGTGACCTGACCTCATGGGATTAAGCAGATTCACCCTCTGTTGCTTTCTTGCCTTCCACCCCATCACAAGATAATTCAGTAAATGACAGCTCACACCAGCTCTTGTGTTTTGATTTTGGACCCCCCACCCTCCAGATGTAACAGAAAAAAAATAACCTATTCATTTAACAGCAGCACCAAATGGACTGAGCCAGATGTTAAGTGTTCATTCAAAAGAAACAAGTTAGTTGGTAAATTTACCAGAATTCTGGAAATCCATGAAGAAGTAGCATGAGTGGTCTACCTCTTTCTCCAGCGGCAACATAGTGAAATCTTAACCCCGAATCCTGAAAGTGGAATAAGTATGGATAAGGTGATAATCAGCATCATCCAACTGAGACGATTAGAGTTTCCACTGAGCCAAAAACATTCTCACTTGAATTATTTTAGCATTAAGAAATATTAATTTAACAACTTGAGTTATCAATAGGATAAATGACCAATTCACCTTTTGGAGTGTTCCCTTTAGAATGCCCCTCTTCTTTGTTCTACCATGGGGTATGTATTTGAGCTTCTGAAGCAACACCATAGTGTAGCTTTCATCTGAGTGAGGTGTCACGTCTCATCCCTTGCAGGGTATGTAAATAATTCTGATCTGAATTTCAATTTTACTAATTCTAACTTCTGTACTCTGCTCAGCTCAGAAGCTGTGCCATCAGTTATGTAATTCACACCCCCTTCTCTTATTTTTAGGCATCTCCTTCCCACACAATTACCTTGAGTGTTGCTGCCTATTCTTCCTGTGTGTGCTTCTAACAGTGGGATATACCAAGTGCCCAAGATTTCACTGTACACATGAGAGATGAGCTAGCTCAAGGAAAAGAAAGGGAATGGAGACAAGAAGAGAAGAATACAGCAAATACCAAGGAAACAGCAAAACAGAGAAGAAAGGAAGAAACAGGAAATCCCTGAAAGCATGAACCATATTAGAAGTCAAATGCGGAGCATGGACCCTGGACTTTGGCGTGAAAGAGTGTGTCGGGTCATTTCATTCATCTCTGTCAGTTTACAGAGTTAGAAAGGGAGGCCCAGGGGCTGAGGCTGTGGTGCAATGCACAGCAGAGAGCATGCTTTTCATGACCTTGGCTTCAGTTCCGAGTACCGAAACTCCCTCCCCCAAAGTGAGGCCCAAACCTGTCACTTAAGTCATAAAAGTAGTTGGGAGGGTTGCAGCTGTAGCTCACTGGCAGAGAGCATTTGCCTGGCATGACCAAGGCCCTGGACTGATCCCAGCATCACTAAATAAATCAACAGAAGTAGAGAGGAATGTGGTGACTACATGACTAGAACCACCTTTGTGTCTATTTCTTGGTTCTGGAAAAAAAAGAAAAGCATTCTGAGGAACTTGCCATGACTCATAGGCTGCATTTTGTCCATAAGTTGGACAGTTAACAAATGTGAATTTGCTGTTATTGTTTAAAAATTGTTTTAGTGGTGGTGAGTCTTGAAGAATAAAATGCTATGTCCACCGGACTGGATTTAATAAATACTTGGTTGTATTGGATATATGCCAGGTCGATAATTATAATAATGAATTATACTAAGTTCTAAGTTCATTGGGCTTGGGTTCATTTTTTCTGTTTTTTGTTGGTTTGCTTTAGTTTGTTTGTTTGTTTTTTGTTTGTTTTTCCCCAAACGTGAACGCACTTAATTCTTATATCAAGCTCCTCCTGCCTTTCTGAATCCCAGTTGCTGGGGAATTTAGCTGCTGATGGAAAGCCAGGACTCAGTAACACAAATATCTCCTGGGATGCTGCCTTTGAGAAGCCCGTGAGTCAGACTATAAGGCGTATCACAGGGACTATTTCACTCCACCACCTGGGGTCAGGAAATAGAACGTCTGTGGGCTGTGACAGAAGTTGAGACAAGCATTGACAATGACAATCTGTCTGTATGGTTGACACCTTTTTAAAGCAGAGCGAGCGAAGTGGACTTTTCATTCCATCCTTCAGGTCCCTGACTGCTCACATCGTCTTTCCTCACAAACACACTCTATTTCTCTACTGTTTAGAGCTGCCTAGGTCATCTGAAATCAGAAATGACTTTCCAAAGAGCTGTCCATTCGCTCCATCTCAAAACCTGGACAAGCCTAAGACAGCAGGACACCGCCAGGAGCGTTGTTCTGCCGCTGATCTGAGCCCTAAAGGCAAAGGGGGTGTCAGGAGACGGCTTCTCCTTGCAGTAAGAAAGGGGGTTGAATTATTCTGAGTTGCTTCGGCAGAAGGAGGATCCGGTTAGAGAAATTCCACATAGAGAAATTCCACCTCCACCCCACCCCCTCCAACCCACACGCGCGACAAGGAGAAAGCAGACAGACATAAACCGAGTCCCTGTTCAGTCCCCAGCCCTGTCCCTGCCTCCCCTGGGATCCCCTCGGAGCCCACAGTGCGTCCTGGTAGCCAGAACGCATTTCGGAAGAATCAGCCCGGCGCCCTTGGCTCCCGCGGCTCCCACCGGCGTCACGCTCCCTCCCCTCCCTCCACGCGCGCCGGCCTTCACCTTGATCCGCACGTAGCAGTGGGTACCCAAGGAGGGGTCGTTCAGGCACGCCGGAGGGTTTGCCCGGGCCGCCCGGCGGAAGGTCTGAGCCGGTGCCTTGCCGATGCTCCACAAAAGTTTGAGCAGGTGGACGGAGGCGCACCGCCCGCAGTAGCCGTACACCAGGGACCAGTACAGCAGGGCGCGCAGCGCGGGCACCAGGCGGGGCGGGCGCGGCGGGGCCATGGGGCGGCCTTGCGGGAGCCGAGCTACGGCGTCCCTCCCGCGCCCGCCGCCCTCCCCGCGCGCCCGTCCGCCCGCCCGCCCGCTCTCCCGGCCTCGCACACGCCGCGCGCCCAGGCCTGGGGACCGCGCAGAGGATAGCCGGCCCGGGTTGTCCTCCGCCAGTGCCACTTCGCTAGCGCCTAGCGAAAGGAAGGCGACGCTGAACGCCATCCCGGGGTCCCGCCGAAGTGTCCTGCTCTGAACAGGTTCAGGCAAGCCCTGGTTCCCAGATAACCCGGAATGCCTCAGGCCTTCTTCTGGATGCCAGAACCACGGAGGGTGGGAGGAACTTGTACTAAATTGCAGCATTATTTCTTCAGGTAGGTAACCTCAACAATCTCTTGCAGATAACTGTTCTTCAAAGTTACCAGCCCAGTCAGGCAAAAGAGCAAAGGGCACAAACTGCACCAAGGCACAGACAACCAGTTGGTCTGTTCCCTTGCTTGTTCTCCCTCACCCTCTCTACTCCTTAATCTCTTCCTCTCCCCACTAGTGCAGATCCCACAATAGTTTATCAAGTCCCCAGGTAAGAAACATTCGTTCTTTCTTCATTCTTCCTTTCCCTTTCCACCTCCCCACCTCGTGTGCATGCGTGCGGTGTGTGTGTGTGTGTGATCTGCAGGTGTCTTTGTGTGTGTGTGTGTGTGTGGGTGTGTGTGTGTGCGTGTGTG